CCCATTGAGAGCAATTGCTCCTAAATAAGGACTGTGGACTTAATCATGATGAACTTTTGTTTCCAACGTGGGTCGCGTTGTGTTCAGCTAGGCATTACATCTGTTATTAGAACAGCAGAGTAGGAGAGAAAGCTCATATATTGCAGAGAAGCTGTCTCCAGCTCCAGACATTTTGGACTACAGCTCCCAGAATCCTGACCATTAGTCATACTGATTGGGGCTGATGGGAGTTGAACTCCAAAGCATCTGGAGGGCAAAAGTCTGGGAAGAACTGTTGTATAGGCTCCAGAGTTTGGAGGATGAGATGGCACGGAGGGGTTCTGCCCAGACACAGCAATGTCTCCAAAGGCAGTTTGCAGATGAAATGACGATTTGAGTCTTTTATGCCATCCTCTTTCTATATTGTCAGTAGCACTAACATGACATCTAAATAGCTAATGAACTGAGATAGTCTGTGACGTGAGACAGAATCTTGGTTTCATCGTGTGAGGAAATGAACACTCGGGTCTGTGGGAAAGATCAAACGTTTGAACCTCTGCGGCTTTATTGATCTGTGGCCCAGTACCTGCAGTCACTAACGATAATGCATTACTGGGTAGAATACAAAATCACAGCCCATGTACAGACACTTTTATAACCTGCTAGTCACATACACCAATACAGAGTGTTAAGTTGCTAGATAATCTTGGTACAATAGCATCTTGATGTCTTTAGGCATGATATATAATGTTCTAAACCAATCAGAAACACTGGTATCAATAGCATGGAAAACATTACTGATTGCTTTATTGACAGGTCAATCGAGCAAATTCTTGACAGTTCAGGACAAGTTTAAATTTGACAACTACGCTCAGCAGGGGCTTGCCTCTGAGGGACTAGATGCTTAGGTGGGTCCATTCAGAAACAAATGGACACCATTGGTTCAGTTTTTCTGCAGCTGATGAGAGCACAGGTGTTTCCTCACTGATAGTATTAGCCTCCAGCAGCTTCTCGGTCCGGCTAAGAATGCAGTCTTAATGTAACAACAATACTAAACAGTAATCTGACTTGGAATTCTGCTGCTTTGTGAGAAACAGGTGTAGATTTGATTTTATAACACAAAGACACATATAAGCAACATTTTTTCTATCAGAATTTCTCTGTATTTTCCCAACAAGTGCATGCCTTAAGACCACAGCGTAGCCTATTTTGTTTCTCCTTGTTAATACTATTCTTCATTGTCTGCTTTCTCTTTATGGAGGTTTTTTTCTTAAGCCAACCAAACAGAATAATGCATTTCAAAAACCCCCCACTGTCTAATCTGGTATGTTATTCTGGTCAGAACAACCTTGGTTTGCAGGCAGCTGTTTGGGCGAGTGGATCAGTTTCCAAGGCTGCATTAGGGCAATTACCGAAAATGTCGGTTCATTGGACAGCATCAGTCATCAAGACCTTTTTATTCTCAACCCAGCAGCGACTAAAGAAAGAAGCCAGGTCACCTAGAATGATGCTTTCGGGTTGCTTCATGCTGTGGTACTTTAGTGGAGCTGAAGTGGTGCTTTTTTATAATCAGCTGAAAGTGGAAATTAAACACTACTATTAAATAGCACTTAATATAAGTGTTATGTTACCTGACAATGCTTATTCCCATGGCCAAGATCCTTCCATCATACTTAAGCTGGAAAATAACCTGTTCAGCAAAGGTCCTCTGCATTTTGAATTAGAAGTTTCCTGGCTCCTGCTACTTGCTTCTTAAAAGCTACCTATGAATCAAGAATTGCTGATGTCATGAATTACTTTTCCTTGAGAGGTAGGAGCTTTTGATTACTGGTTTCAGCTTATTATTTTAATTTTGTCTTTCTGTTTTGTCAAAATAGCCTGACAGGAAAATTAGTCTAATGATGGGTCAATTAATCAATCAAGCTATTCCTTCCAGTCAGAGTTGCCCTTAAAAGCCTCAACAGCATTTTCCTATCCACACTGGACAGTGGGGTCCTGTAAGTGGGTTTTAACTGGAGGAAATTGCCAAAGATCTGGAGAAAAGATGGGACAGCAACAAAGAAAGCACCGGGGTGCTTAGTATTGGCCATAATATTACTGGATTTTCTGCGAAAAGAAAGAAAACAAAGACTGGTACTTGTGGTTCATCAGCTGACAGAGCTATCTGGTCAAGTGTTCAATGCCCCTCTGTGCGGAGACATTGCTAATTATAGGGATGATAATATATTATACATTCCAGGTTACTAGCCTCAGGTGCTTAGGTGCCTGTGTGAACTGAGTGCCCAGACTTTCCTCCAGTGCAAACTCCCTGCTTTCCTTAACTTACAAAACCATTTAGCAATAAATGAGAGAGAACGAAATAGCATCAAAGCAAACACATAGGAATTCACACGTGTGTGTTTTATGTGTGAGAAATGTGGGAGAGGCAGTGTGGTGTAGTGGTTAAGAGCATGGGGCTGGGACTCAGAGGATCTGGGTTCTAGCCCCCGCTCAGCCATGGAGCCACCTGGGTGACTTTGGGCCAGTCGCAGACTCTCAGCCCAACCTACCTCACAGGGTTGTTGTGGGGATAAGATGGAGGAGGAGAATGATGTAAACTGCCTTGAGCCCTCGTAGGAAAAAGGCAGGATATAAATCGAAATATAAATAAAAATAAAAAGTGCAACCATCCACCTCCTGGAGACTCAAGACTCGGCCATCATTGCCTCCTCCTAGTCCCGTTTTGCCCCCAAACCTGTAAAGAAGATGGCAACACTTGCAAGGCACTTGGGGATGTGCAGAGTCTTCTCTCTACCACTGGATAACCGCAGAAGAGGGCAAGATTTGTCCTCTGTGGCCCCAGAGGGCAGGACTAGCGCTGAAGGGCTCAAGTATCAGGAGGATCGACCTCAGTGGCGCACGAGTGGCTTAAATGAACAGCGCAGTGGGATGTTGGAGCCCATTTCCTATGGGATGCAGCTGGCCTCTCCCCCCCCACCCCCACCCCAGGGGCTGTCACAGAGAAGCTGAGGACCCATGTTTTGGGAACGCTGCAAGTGTTGCCTTGATAAGCTAGAAAGGGTCCTGCAAAAGGCAGACCTACAGGTAGAGTTCAGGGTCCATGGCAGGATTTCTGAGCCAGAAATGTTGGGCAGAGCAGCAGGTAAATTACTCTGGATTTCCAACTTGCCCTGCAGGAATGAGGAAAGCTTGGGGTACCCAGCAGTGGCCTTGGACATGGAGGAGAGCGAGAGCTCAGCTCCTTTCTCAAATTCAGAGCGGCAGCCTGCTTTTTAATCCCAAATAGCTATGCAGTAGGTGCCTCTGGACTGCCAGGGCCTGCCAGCTCCAGTGTTCTGGGATTCGCAGGACAACCGTCAGCACTCCTGGAGCAAAAGTCTTACCTGCAGATAGCACCTCTTCTGTGCATTTTTCGCAGAAAAGGTTCCTGTATTGAGCGTAGTGGCAAGATCTGGGCTTTGGCACGTACCCTGCTTGGCTCACCGCTGACACCAGCCATGGGCTTCCTGCGTAAATCCATCCAGGGGGTTTACAGAGATACGGGGCTGCTGCAGTGATGAGGGTCTGGGCTGGGGTGCGGGAGAGCTGGTTCTGGTCGCCACTCAGCCATGAGAAGTCGCTGACTCTTGGCCTAGCCCACCTCAAAGGGCTCCTGAGCGGAGGAGCTGCAGAGGGGGACTCTGTGTGTGGCACCTTAGGTCCTGGCGAGAGGAAAGTGGGTGGGCGATTGAAATGAAATCATGGACGTTTTAAGGAGACCCTCGTGCACGGCAGGCAACTGCCCTTGTGCGCCGAAATGGAGATGTTGGGTGACATCTTTGGCTTGACTGGTGGTGCAAGCCCCACAGAAGGGGGTCACAGAAGCAGTGGGCAGGGTGGATGTTCCGGAAGGAAGCTCTCAGCCTCTGCCGGATGGCACTTGGGTTGGCTGCCGTGTGAACCCAGATGATGTTTGATCATTTTTGCTCTGTGTTGCCTCCAGTCACCCTCACTTATTATCCAGTCACCTCAACGCCTTCCAGATATTTTGGATTACGAGTGCCATAATTTTTGTTGTGAGCCGCCCTGAGGCTTTGTTGCGATGGGAGCGGCATAGAAATGTTTTAAATAAATAAAATAAAATAAATAATCCCCGCCCACTGGCTGAGAAGGTGGGAATTGTAGTCCAAACAACACCGGGTTGTTTGGCTCACACTGTATCCCTTTAGCTGTCATCTTGGCACCCCAAAAGGATCCCGGAAATCGAGGCCAGCAAGGCACTCAGAGCTTTCCCTCTAGAGATGTCTTACCCCTACTCCTCTCACAGCACATTTCCCATGTTAGAAACATAGAAACAGAGCGAGTCAGAAGGGGCCTCCCAGGCCATCTGGTCTGACCTCTGGCACCAGCCGGCTCTGCTCACGACATGCCCACCATGTGCATGTTGAGCCAGTGTAGGTCAGTTGTTTGGGTCTACCATGATGCTGAGCGTGCATTTTTCCAGGCACACAATCCGGCTGATTCTTTCACTCAGCAAAGCAAACCTTCCTTGTTTTCTCTGTCCAATTTGGCCTCAGTTCTGCTCAAGAAGAATATTTGGGATTTGTTGGGATACAGCTAGGGCAAGGAAACACAGGGGCCAGGGGTGATCCTCCTGGGGTCCTGAGGCAACCTTCTGGGATGCTTCCAATGACCTCTCCTTTCTCCCAGCCAATGCAGTCTTCTGAGAGCTTATCTAAAATGGAATTGTTGGGTCCTCAGGTTGAAGGAAGTTCCCACAGAGAGAGAGAGTTCAAACATTACACTCACACACTCAACCAAAAAGGCACACACACATATTTGAAAACTCCACTTCCTTCCGTGCAGAAACAAAACACAACAACCTTCACCACACAATGCAATAAAAGACTTTTATTAGTTGCCCTGTATTTACATTTTTCCTTGAAAGAAATAATCATTTAGGGTTTCTTCAATTTCTTTTTCTTGGAGTGTTATGAACCATACGCAAAATAGCTCCTGTTCCAGACAGCCTCCCTACGACCTCAGTAGAACTGCTGTTTGCCCTGTTGCTGCTTGTTTACATTGGCTGCGTGCATCAGTTTCAAGAGGAGGTCCCCTGCAGAGCCGTCCAGCACTGTCAGGTTCCTTTCGGAGTACATCCGACTTCTGCTGTTGGAGTCATCTGCACATGCAGCGTCAGCCGTGCAGCTCTCTTCAGAAGCAAGAGCAGAAAAACAAGAAACAGAGAAACAGAGCGAGTCAGAAGGGGTCTCCCGGGCCATCTAGTCTGACCCCAACCTCCAGCCGGATCCACTCACAACCTGCCCACTGTGTCCATGAAGGCCTATCCAGAATGCATTTGGGTAGGAGGCAATGTAAACTACTCTAATGCGAAACTCTGGTATGATATGATTGGATTAAGAAGCCAGGTTTCCTCCACCTTTGACTAATCCAGCTTTCAGGTACCTTTGACTAATCCAGCTTTCAGAAACGGTTATCCCAGAACTGAGTTATACAGCCCTGCCAGCCTGAAGGAAAAATTCAAGGATGCTTAACATAAAAGAAACAGATCTTGCTCCTGTGCCTTTAACTGCAGGGTGATCTGCACATGATCCTGGTACAAGGCATCCCCTCCCAAGTTCTGCAGATCAAAATGATTGTTCAAAGGTCTTCCCCCCCATGCCCCCATCAGCTGACCAGGCTGCATTCAGGTAGCCGCGTTCCACACAGCTCCATTGTTCCTTCTTGGTTGTTCCCAAGATCGGTTCTTTCTAAGGAGCTGTGCATTTCACCCACTAGAGAAAGAAACCCACCGTTGTTTTTGGAGAAACAAGAAAAACCCTAACCCCACTGCCTCCGTCCTGTTCATAGAATTTGACAAGAGTCCAGACAACATTAGGGACCTACCAGTTCTCCCTTTCACAGGTACTATTGCCAAGCCAGGTATCCCTCATACCTGTGCAGGTATCCAGATGGGGAACGAAGCCCAAAAGATGCAGGAAGGAGCCACAGGCTCGAATACGCCTGTCGCTCGGATTCACGCTTCTTTGGCAGTCCTGCCTACAGGCTCCTCTTCCTCTTGCCACCCGCCCCCATTGCCCTCGTCACATTTTCCAGAGTTACCTTCATTGCAGCAAATGCCGGAGGCTGCGCATCTCCCGCCTGCGCTGCAAGGTCTTCCTCCAGCCTCGCAAGGGGAGGGCAGGTAGTTCTCCTCCAGGCAGCGCAGAGTTTCAGGTGTGCCGAAGTAGCAGCCCAGCTCCTCTCCGCAGCAGATGCTGGGGCCGAAGCAGTTCCCTTTGTTCCCAGGACCACACGGGATGCACTAAGAGGGAAGAGATGTGAAGGACACGTGGCTTGATGAAGGGGTGTGAGCCCTGGTTATGGCAACTACGCTGGTCCATTCCCAGGCACAATCCAGAACGCTGGTTATGGCCTAGAAAGTTCTATACAGCTTCGGATCAGACCCTGTGGAATAACAGCAAGCCTGCTGGGTTTTGAGACAATGGAGGAAGGACCTTCTCTTGGTCTTTGCTCCATCACCAAGACCACCCTGGAGCTCCCTGCCGAATGAGGCTAGGTTAGATCCCCCTCCCAGTCCTTCCAGCAAGCAAAGACATTCAGGGTTGCAAAGGCTGGCTGCTGACTTGTCTTTTGCCCCTGAATTTTTAACTGCTTCCTTCTGATGTCAGGTTATGTTTTCACCCATATTTTACTGCTTTCAGTTGAATTGGACACCACTTTTGGTGGAAAGACGTAACTATGTGCAGAATACTTGGCTTTTCTCCACAGTTGGCTTCTCCGTTCAAAGATCTGCTGACTGCTCCTATGTCTGGAGGGTCCATATGACCATTCGGGCTAATAGGACTGCCTTCTGACTCCTCTTCTGAAGCCATTTGCAGAAGAATCCTGCACATGTTTCCCTCGGAATAAGTCTGGTCGGACTCACATCTGAGTAAATGCAAAAGTCCCTGCTCTAAACTGCACTGCCCTAAATGGGAGGCAGAAACAGCCGTGCAAGGTTACTCTGCACAAAGCCATCTTTGGCTACCCCGATTAAATGTGACAAGCAGGCCTGGTCCCTGGAATGCTATTATTAATAAATCAATCAACGGAATGGTGGCAAGAGCCCGCTTGTGGCTCAGATTCTCTTATTGTATGTCAAATTCATTGATCCTGTATCATGGCCCATCAATTACTTAATGTTGTGCAAGGTAATCAATGCTTTCCTTTAATGCTGGGACATGCTGGGACTTGTAGGACATCCTTTTGTCTAAATGAACACAGGATTGCCCCCTGAGTATTTTTGCTACTTTCACTGAGTTGACTGGCATTTTCTCTCCAAATCCTTTTTATTGTTAAACGAGTTTAGAAATACCGTTCCCTTTTTAAAGCTTCAGCCTCACCAGGGTACCTGATCCACAACCTAATTATTGCAAATGTGAATTTAATTTTAACAAGCTGATGCTTGGGGCAAACAGAATATTTTGGCAATTGTTTACATTAGTGTAATTTAATTGAAGCCAAGGGGGCTACTTCTTTCTAAAAGGTTGCCACTTTTGAATTTTCTTCATCCCTCCATAACAAACGTTTTATTTCAGAGCAGCAGAACTCAATATAATAAGGCTGTGCAAGAGTAAACTGTTTAACTTATACTTAATGAACAGATTGGCTCAAACACAGGATTCAGATCAAGAGAGATTTGGTTTTTACATGAGCAAATACTGGAGTAAGTCCGCTTAGCTTCCTGACTGGTCCATTTTCCAACTGCAGTTTGTTTTGCAAATATTAGCAAACCAACATAGCAATTGCCATGCAGAGAAAACCTTTGCTTGCGTGCTGATACCTGCAGACCAAACTGCTGTTAAATGCACAGGAGCAAGGCAGGGCAGTTGGCAACCCTGTACTGGCTGCAGAAGAAAGTTAAACATGCAAAGTTTAACTGCTTGCTTCTGTTTAATTGCTTGGGAGTAAGTCCTCTTGAACGCACTAGGACTTACTTTGAGTAGACACACAAAGGATTGTGTTCTAAGGATTCTCTGTGGCTCCCAGCAAAGAACTTTTAAAAGAGGGAAATGTTGGCAGGATTAAACTCTCTTTAATCTGTGCCACACTGGCCTCTGCCGCACCTCTGCATCAGGTTAATCCTGCTGGAGCACCTATGCACGTTTGATAGATGCGGAACGGAGATAAAACACGGTGTCTTGTCTGAGGCACTGAAGCCAGCTGGCCGCTGGCCGACTCCGAGCCTCAGCTGGGATGTTCTCAAAGGAGGCTCCTGTCAGGCAAGCTCCTGCCTCAAACACAGAATGTTGTGTGGGGTCCAGTCATCCTCACCTTCTGCCCGCTTGCACCCCAACCCATGTTCTCCCAGCACTTCATCCAACCTGGTTCCTCACACCTGCTAAGGTGGGCCAGCTCCACAGGCCTTTGCCTAGAAGCCCTCCGCCCAGGAGCACCCCGACCTATTTCACTTACGACGGGCATCGGAGATGCTCTCAGGGGTTCCTGGGGACCCCTCTCGCTGCAGCGGGAGGGTTGCTCCCTTCCTCCTCCCAGTGCTCCTTCCCTTCCTTCTGAGACCTTCCCAAGTTTTGCCCCTCTTCCCGCAGACCCACACTGGCAGCACGAGCCTTCCTTGCTGATGAAAACTGGGAAAAGAACCGTGGAAAGCAGTTCCTTGCTTTCACATCCGCACAAACGCGCGCCAAGCAGCTCGCTCTCCCGTACCTGCCTGATGTCTGTGTCCGGGAAGGCTCTCTTTCCTCCACGAGGGCAGTTCTGGATGTAGCAGGCGGCAGACAAGGTGAGGAGGCAGAGGAAGCAGGTGGGCAGAGACATCTCGGGCATCCTGGTGGGTCTGCAGGGCGGGCGGGCGGGCGGGCGCTGCGGCTCTCCGGCTCTCCTGCCTGCCTGCCGCTTGCGTGCGCTCCTGGCGGGCCCCCTGCCCCTTTATACCCTTCCCAGCGCCCCTCTCTGCGTAACGCCACGCTCATCAGCATCGCCGGGGAGGCTAGTTCTGCACCTCCACCTCCCACCCGGAGCAAGACTCGCATCGCATCCAATAATTGAGCCAATTTGGCCGGGAGGCTCAACTCCCTCAAGCCGCTTTTTTTGGCACAGGAGAATTTAAGACGTGCATCTCATTGTATCCCCTCCGCCGCCCCCGAGCAGGGTGAGTTGCAGGGCGCGAGTCTGGGGGGAAGTTGCCTGCCTGCAGCGGGATTGAGAAAGGCTCTTGCTGCGGATTCTCTCTTTCTACCTGGGCATATACCCCCTTTCTCCGAGTAGAAGCAGGGGAAGCAAATGCTTCTTGCCACTGCTACACAAGCCTTTAGGTTTTCTCTGGTCCTGCTTTCGTGGCATGGTTTGACTGCATGAGCCCCGGAATCTTACTCACAAGTAGCCCTATATCTGACAGGCATCTCTAGCAGGTGTACCTTTCTTTCTTTCCTACTGCTGAGAGAAGAAAGGGTTTTCCCCGCAAGCACCAAGAGAATCGGAGGTACTGAGAACTTGGCTTGCATGACTCCAGCAGTTTCCAGGCATTTGTTGCTCCACATTAACGGAGTTGTGCCAAATGAATTCCAGCCATGGACGGGCTCGGTAACAACGAGTTAAAGACCAGTTGTAAACACGGAGTAGAGAAAGCATCGTGCCTCTGTTTTTTGGGAGTCTGAAAAGTCTCGGCACCTCTTAATCTGGCTCAAGGTTAGGCCCATCCATTCTGGCGTGGTCTGGCGATTTGACTGCTGGACTGGGACCGGGGAGACCCAAGTTCTAATCCCCACTTCGTCTCGAAATCCTTTTGCAGACTCTCAGCCTTGCCTCCCTCACGGGGTTGCTGTGAGGTTAAAGTGGAGAGGAAGAGGACGGTGAAAGTTGCTTGGTTTCCTCCCAAGAGGAAGGAAGGGGGATATAAATTTAAGAATATAAGAAAAATAATAAATATATTAACCAAAGGAAGCCTTTTTAACCGCAGGGAGTTAAATCAGACTTGCTGCAGGCCAAGATGAGAAGGGAAGCCAGGGCATCCAAAAAGTCCTCTTCGCCCAAGCTTGGCCTCCCTCAACGTTTCCCACCAACAGCCACTAGGGCAGGCTCAGGTGAGGCAGACGGGAAGGGAAGAGGGATTGCTCCATCAGCCGGCTGAATGACAACTTCATTTTTTCCTCTGCCCTCCCCAGCCCTTTTTCCTTTTATACCATGTCTTTTTAGGCCTTCATGTATTACCATTGCAATCTGCTCCAGGAGAACTTTTGGCTGAGAAGTGGGATGACAATCATTTTCAATGAACAATGAGAATAAAGTTAAAGGCACGCGGGGTTGAATTTCTGCCATTATTTCAGGAGCTGCCGCAGTCGCTGGAGCAGACTCCCGGCCCTGTTGCCCTCCAGGTGTCTTGGAGCAGAACAGCTCACTGCAGATGATGGGAGGTGTGGTCCACCTTCTCTGGAGGGCACCAGGATGGAGAAGGGAAGAGCACTGGGGAAGACGCGAGCCAAGATCTTTCTCGCCTGCCTCCGCCAGGAGGGTCGCTGGCCAACTCTTGAGCCAAGCACCTTTTTGCATGCTAGCCTCCTTCACAGGGTTGTTGTGAGGATCCGAAGGGCAAGGAAGAGTCGCGTGTGCTGCTCTGAGATTTGCAAAAGAGCGGGGCCAGGATGTAACCAACAGAGATATCTGGGCCCGGGTGTGTTTACAGGAAGAGCAGGTGAGGAAAAACGGGGAGGGGGGAATGCTCGGTCAGGGGACGGCATCGCAGGAAGCCGGCGTGCCAGGCGGCCGCTCTCGCACTGAGCATTGTGGGAACCGGGGACCTTCTGCCCGCAGGCGGTGTGGGCTTCCCAGGTGCCCCCGTCCTGCCGCGACCGGCTCGGCCCAACGCACCTGCCACCTGTGGAGGCCGCGCTCCCACCCCTCGCTTGACCCTGCCCGCCCACTGTGCCAGCCAGCCTCCCTGCAGGGCCGGCCGATCCGCCGGCCTGTTTGCTGCCGCCTTGCGAGGTGCTTCGTGAGGCTGGCGGGAGCTCATGGCTGCGGCACAAGGTGTTGCAATTGGCACAGCAGGTGTGGCTGGCCAGACTCTGGCAGACCTCCCTGGCAGGGAGGGCAGCAGGAGGAGCCGGGGGTGAGGCGCCCACCTCGCCCCTCCTCTGCCTGATGCAAGGGAAGCCGGCCCTTTAAAGCCCTATTAGTTAAGCACCTTCCCTAAGCCCTCCCGTTAAATCGCTCCTGAGTTTTGCATTTATTCAAACGCAGCTGCTAAGCCAGTTCAGAGACCTGAGTAATCTGCTCTGAGCTATTCCATTTGCTTCACAGAAATTCCATACATTTTTGTCATGTCCAGTCAGCCACCCGGCTGCGGAAGGCTTTTGAACCCCCTCCAGTTCCTTCCATAAGGTTCGAGATAATCATTTTGGGAACAGCTGTGAAGTTGCAGAGGCTGCGTCGAACGCCCCGCACTGAAATGTCACCTTTATCTGAGCTGTCAACAGATGATTCAGGGAATTTCACATATCGGATATCATCAGCGATTCTCCTCTGTAAATGAGCACGGCCTTTCTGGTTCAGACGTCCTCTGACTTTCACTGAGAAAGCACTCTTCCTCACTGGGCTGCCTCACCAACATCCTGATAAGCAAACTAGTAAAAAGTGGACTAGATGGAAAAACTATTTTGGGGTGCATTAATAGAAATATTACTTCCAAATCAAGTAATAGTTCCCCTTTACTCAACACAGGTTAGGACTCATCTGGAGTCCTGTGTCCAGTTCTGGCCACCAAGATTTAAGAAAGATGCAAAAAACTAGAAAGGGTCCAGAGGAGGGCAACAAAAATGACCCAGGGTTTGGAAACGCTGCCCTGTGATGAGAGATGGAGAGAACTGGGCATGTTCAGCCTTGAGAAGAGAAGACTGAGGGAGGACATGAGATCCCTCTATAAGCACCTCAAAGGCTGTCACAGTGAAGGTGGTCAAAATCTCTTCTTGCTGAGGCCAGACTATAGGACACAGAGTAATCAACTCAAGTTGTGACAACACAGGTTCGGGCTGGACACCAAGAAAGCTTCCTCACTGTCAGAGCAATAGGACAGTGCAACCAGCTGCCTGGAGGGGTGGGGGGCTCTCCCACACTGGGGACATCCAAGGCGAAACTGGGCAGCCACCTGAGTGGGAGGGTGTGACTCGGTGTCTTGCAAACCCAATGGCCTTCTTGGCCCCTTCCAACTCTGCTCTTCTATGATTGTATGATCTGTGAAATAGGGCTATAGGTGCTGGGCTGGACCGATTTCAGCAGAAGGTGCCTGACTGTGTAGGACAGAGATGTCAAACCTTTTCACACTTTTAGTATTTTGGTCCTGCCCCCTTTGACTTCATCCTGGGGCCCTGAAAGTTCAGAAAAAGAATCTGGCCCTTGCACGGCAAAAAGTTCATCACTCTCAGCCTGGAATATCAGCATTAATTATTGTGCAGAAGAAATTATTTTGGCAGGGTGCTGCGTCTCGTTCAAGGCTGAAGAAGCGCACCTGCCGGATTTTCCTCGTTGATCCGGCTATTGAAGGACAAGGGGCAGGATTCGTTTGAGGTTGGCCAGAGGTTCAGAAAGGGCCCACTTTGGTGTCTGTGAAGGTGATTCGAAGTAGGAGCTGTAAAGCAGATGTGCGTCTTAAAGCCTTTCGAAAATGAAATCAGCGTCTGTGGGGAAGATCCTTCCTGGGAGCAAGGGAGTAAGGTGATACACCCGTGCCCTGCAGCTCATCATAAGCCTCCAAACTGTGCTATCCACGCATTTCCCAGTGAGTTTTACATCTTGGGTCCCCCCTCCCCTTTTCTGCTCTTCACAAATAGCTTTTTCATCCTAAAACCTTTCCTCCAGAGCTGCTGCTTTCTCGAGCCCTCAGCTTGCAGCCTCGAGGCACATGGTTTTCCGGGGAAAGGCTTTGTGATGGACCCACATAGGTTGTTGGAATCGTGTCTTTGTGGTGGGATTGGTGGTCGTGCACCTCACTGGAAAGCTCCTGCGTTCCTCCTCGTAGCCCACACTCTGCACCCGGCAAGATGCTGGCGGGAAAGGCTCTGCCGGGCGCAGATGGCCTTCCAGGCTGACTCAGCACTGGGACGGAGGTGTGACCACCGAGCCCCAGCCAGAAACGAGCCCCCACTCAGATCCCCATCTGTTCACAGACTAATGGCTTCCTTCCTTCCTTGTTGGTGTTCTAGAAGAAATGTGCAGGGAGGGCCCAGCGGAGGGTTGCAGCTGCCCGGGAGGCCCGCACGCCATCTTCTGAGCTCCAGCCCAGCTTGTGCGTGTGGGATGGACGGTGTTCAGGAGACGGCAACAAGGATGGAAGCAAAGCCCAGCGAGGAGAGCTGGGAAGAGCTGGGCATGCTTGGCCTGGAGAAGAGAAGGCTGAAGCGGGATAGGTAGCACCTGGCAGGTTCTTGAAGGGCTGGCTCAGAGAGGAGGGACGGGGTCTCTTCTCCACCCCCCCCCCCCCAGAGTGCAGGACCTGAAGCAATGGGCTCAAGTTCCAGGAAGCCCGATTCTGTATGGAAATCAGGAAGAACGTCCTGGCTGTGAGAGCAGTACAACAATGGACCCCCTGACCTAGGGAGGTTGTGGGCTCCCCCATGCATTCGAGAGGCAACTGGGCAGCCGTCTGGGAGGGACGGTTTGACCTGGAGTCCTGCATGGAGCAGGAGCGGGGCTCCTTGGTGCGCCCCTGGCCCCTCACCACTCGGCTGTTCTAGGATGCTGCAGCGTGCGTAGGACACCTTGTCCATCTCCTGCCCCGGCCCTGCAAATTAAGGATCACACTCTTTGAAAAAGGAAAATGCTTCCCACAACTT